AGCATCTAAAGTGTTATATATTATTATGAAAAAATGTGTAAAATCACCTAAATTGTTTAAACTATTACTGGAAAAAACATATCTAAAAAATTATTAAATATTATTTCACATTGATTTATGATGTTCGATATTTTTAAATTCATTAAATTTATTTGAGTACGTGATGTTGGACCCTTTTTCTTATTTATCATAACTAATTGTTTATTGGATGTGTACAAAAAATAGCTAACAAGAATCCACATAATATGATACTCTTTCTAAATTTTATAAGATTTTGTAGTTGGATAAATATGTACAAAAAAATTATCAATGAAGTTGAACAATCCGAAATATAAATATTGATTTCTGAAATTAATATTCTTTATTAAATTAATACGAACTTTTAGTTGTAACCATAAAATATGATATTTGTAGAGAGATAAAGATGAATAAAAAATATTTGACAATTAAGTTGACATGACTTTCAGGACAGATTTCAAAAAAATTCAATTTTTTTATTCGTTAAATGATTTATCAAATTTTTGTAACCAAATTTACACGTTTGACTGAAAAAATTTACGGAAATAATTGACCGAAATTTTTGATGCAAGATTCTTTCTCATTATTGGCCAGATTTACCCATATAAGAAAATAATTGCCCATAATTTTGGGAAATAAGGTTTACACAATATCTTTGTCAAATATCATTTTTTTTTTAAAAAAAAATGAATTCGAATTTCACTCAGCCGCCATTTTCCAAAATAAAAAATATTAAGAATAGCAATTTTGAAAATTTTAAGTGGGAATTTCAATACTATTTCTAATAAATCCCTTTCTCGATTATACAGTAATAGATTACATTAAATTAGCGTAGTATTAATCTTATTTTGACCCAAAATAAGTTAAATTGATTTTACATTAAATCAATGAATTATATATTTGAACATGATTTAAATTTCTTTCCATTTTTCGTCTTATACTATTATGCCCCTTTTATGTCATTTTTTTTGTTTATTTTTTATTATCTAATTAAACATATTTTATTTGAATAATTTTATTTGAGACAATATTTCCTTGGAATACTTAGTATGTAATTGGATTTATAGATTTCGCAATCAAGATTATATATGCACTGAATTTTTAAACAAATGATATTTGATTATATGAAATTTACTATTAAATCTTATTCATTTGTCTGACAATTTCAGTGAAATGATGTATGTACTTTAAATGTTATGACATATCACAAAAATGACAGAACTATTACACTGTTTTACAGTAGCTCTTTTAATAAATTATGTTGTTTTTCTAATTAAAATTCAAGTACATGAGAAAATTTAAATGTGTACATTTGTAAAGAGAAATAATAAAATAATTAAAAATTAATATTTGTCATATGTATAAGAGAGTAGCTAAAAATTGACAAGTTTTTTTGTTAAAAGAGAGTAATCTCCATATAAAACACGACTAACCAGAAAACATAATAATTTTTATTTTATAAATGCAACATTTACTTTTTAATATTATTTATTGTGTGATTTATGTATTTTATATTAAATTTAAAAAGTATTTTCATACTTTGACTTCTTTATACACGTGTCTAGCTAGATATTTTGAATCGAGTATTTCTAGTTAGAATTCGTGCTCATTTAATAAACGAGCTGTCATGGCTCAACTAGTTCAATAAACAAATAAAAATTTGAGATTGAGTACGACTCATATAAACTTAATTCAATTTATTTAATAAATTTTAAAAACTAGACCAAAATCCAAAACAATAACCGAATTATTTCTGAACACGTTCTACTCGACTTTTTGATAGACAAACTCAATTAGTTGTTCGAGTTTGACTCGTTTAAATATACAAGCAAGTTAAGCTCGAACTTTTACAAGTCGAATTGAACTACGTGAGAGGACAACTCAATTCGAATAACATCNTAATTTTTGAATTTCTTCATGTATATAGACATTGGTATTTAATTACACATGTCAAATCAAAATAACATAATAAAAAGGGGAAATAGTTGAATAATTCATAATGCAGCACAGGTGTTATCCAGTGCCCCCAAACACTCCAAAGTCCAAACAATATGAATCATCCTTTTTGTGTGTGTCTCAAAATGTTTTGAATGTGAAAAAGTCAATGGTCCAATTTTCAAGCCTCAAACAAATAATTCGTGCCTAAAAAAGACTCCAAAATCAGCCTTAGTGGATTTTGCATACGCACAGATTTCCCGCATTAATGATTTTGCTTCCCACTGCAATTTGCTTGTATAATTGCTTGCTTGATTTTTCAGCATTTTTCTTAAAAGAAGGAAAAATAAAAATAAAAAATAGGATGTAAATTAGGTACAGAACATTGTTTTCCCTTTTCTATCTCTATGATATATAATATGGTATTAGGATTAGGGTTAGTTGAAAATTTGGCTTATTATTGGTCTTCGTTGCAAAATTTAATTTGGTGAACTTTTTATGTAAAATGTCAATTTTTTTCTAATTCATTTTCTTAAGTAAAGAAAATAAAAATATTAATAAAGAAATGGGACCAAATCTAAATAAAATTTCCAGTTTAGTTTGTATGACGGTAATCTTTATTCATACTTGTTAGACAATTATATTTTCTCAACAATTATACTATTTTTATATATATTAAAATGTCATGCTTAAAATAAAATACACACAACTAAAATATGAATTTTATTCAAAATGTGTAATCATTAACATAATCTGTATACTCACAACTTTGTAATTTATTCAAAATATATACACGATGATCTAACATATTTTGTATTATTTTAAGGTGTATGCTTGTGCCTAACAACATTAATTTATTGTTGTAATGATGCAATACGTAATTAGATAGTGTTAATAACTAATCTTATTTTGATAATTCATACTTTTGTCAACACTGTTCATGTGGCATGTAATAGAAAATAAAAAATCTCTCTATATATATATATAATTGCTGGCAAGTTTCAATAAATTTTATTCAGCCAGCAATAAATAATAATATGAGTTTATTTAAAAAAAATTGGTGTTCATTTAATAAAAATATGTCCATCATTTAATAAAACATATGTAACTTCGGTTACACAATTTATTTTGATAGGTCTCATTTTGGATGGTGCTCATTTCTAAAATGTTTTTTATGTCCTGAAATACAAAATGATTTTGTTTTTATTTTGATACTATATATTTTTTGATATTATAAAAATACATATTTCACGACTAATTAAGAATGACTATAGATATCTCTATTTTCTATTGCAGCCATACAATAATAAAAAAATATTTTTTTAGATATTATAAAGATATTTAAAAAATCAAATCGCAGAGTCACGAGTCGAAGGGTTTAACGATAATGATTTGTTGTGATAAGAATTATAACGATAAAAAAACCACGGATGTTGTATATAAAGAGGTGTTTAATATCATTTAGATTCACTTTTTTTAATTATGTATTTTCTCATCTATTACGTTATGATTTTTATTTTAATATGTATTTTTAATTACTTTCTCTTCTATTATATTGCAAATGTACGGGGTAAAACTAGTAATAATAAAAATCAACACAGTTTCTCTTGTGGCCTAATCGTTAGGCCGACCCAAACCTATCATACACAATCCCATAACATTAATAACCTTAATGACACAAATTTATTTCAAACCACAAATGTATTATTTTTCTCCATAAAAAATGACAAATATGCACCAACTAATTAAGGGTTGATCAAAAGCTAAAAATTGACACAATTAATTGAAAAAATCTGATTCCAAACGGAGGTTTTGACTCGTAATGAAATTGTAGACGCTCTTTTTCATCTTTAGTCATAAATTACTCAATTGTATTTCAAAAATTAGAAATTAATAAATGGGATATTTGACAATATGACACGTTTTGATTACAATTTAGGATCTCATTCAGAGATTTACTTATGGGACAACACTCGACACAAAGTATGGTGGATATAACTTGATAATTTACATTCACAACTGATAAATTAATTCATAGTTTGAAAGTTAATTTTTTATCTGATAGTTAATGATTAATGATTGAAAAACTACATATGTATTTGATAAAACTAGATAATAAATCATATACAATATCTCAATTAATTTTTCATTAGACACTACCTCGGTCAAATACAAAACATCAAATAGTTTTTCATAAGAAACTACCTCAAATAGCATCATATATATGTAAATTCACCCCCACAACATGAAATTTATTCAAACACAAGAACTTCTCTTATTCTGTTTAACAAAATCATATAAATTATCCACATTTATCACACATCAATAACCAAACTCAGACATATAACAAAATATGAATGATATGTTTAATAAACGTAGCTGAAAAACTATGTAATAATTGAGAAGTTATATGATAATTTATAAATTATTTGGAGCTATTAAATGATGGTCAAAAGTTAACTAACATAATAAAAATACATGACATAATTAATCGATAAATCATTTGAAAATAAAATTCTCAACTTGACAAATTATCTCGACACACTTATCGAGATTTCTATAAAAAAAACTCCTGCCAAACATTTTTTTTTTTTCGAATACAAGAAGTTTGTTTACACGTTTGTTTATTAGCTGATTAGATACCTTTTAAAGGGTTTACCATCAAACTTGTCAATTTATTTAATTAGATAATGAACTTGCTTGATTAATTTTTTGAGCACAAAATGCTAATTCTCAAAAAATTCAATGGAGCAGTGTTTCGAATAGAATTTCTCTATTTAATTTTTAACAAACACACCCTTAATAAATTCTTAAAATATAAAGAAAATAAAATAAAGATGAAAGATAATTTAACTAACAAGATTGGCCTAAAATTGAGGCAAGATCAACTTAATCTCCATCAAAACAACCAACCTAATCCACCTCTCTTTCATCGACCCCAATTTTTGCCCCCGAGTCAACTTCCTCTATTTCACGCCGTTACATTTTTCAAAAAGCCACGAAAAATACAAAAGAAAAAACAAAAAACACACACACACACACACACACAGTTGACTGTCACAAAAACACACCTACTCCGTATTCATCCAAACCTCTGAAAATGTACACCACTTTCTCTCTCTATGTAGTACGCTGATTTCTCTCTCTATAAGTGCGTGTATGTGTGTTGGGCTCATACTCATCGGCAATTTGGCATGCCGCTGTTATTATTATATTGAGAAAACCTTGGAAATTTAACGGCATATTCCCCTCATCTCTCTCTCTCTCTCTCTATCTGCTTTTCCCTTTCTATCTGTCGCTTTATGGTTATTTTGGGTTTTGAGAAATCTTCAAAGCAATTTCCTATCTAGTTGCTCGATTAATCGAATTTTCGACCTCTGAGACCACAATTATTTTTCCCTCATCTGCATTTGCTTGTTCTGTGAAAAACCCATGTAGCTTTTTTCGTGGATTGTTGTTTTTTAATTTGATTCTGGCCCTAAATTCCAACCCTCCATAGACAGTTTCTCGAAATCCTCAGTGCCCGTCTGCTTTTTTCACCATTCTTATTTGAAACTTTCATCTGGGTTCTTGAACGGCCGGCGGGATGGTTGTGAAGATAATGAGATGGAGGCCGTGGCCGCCTCTGATTTCAAGGAAATACGAGGTCAAGCTCGCCGTGAAGAGGGTCGAGTGTGGCGATTGGGTGCCTGAGGGTGCGGAGAAGGATGGCGGCGCCCTCGCGGTGGAGATCAGGTGGAAGGGCCCTAAGATTTCTCTTGGCTCGTTTAGGAGGACTGTGAAGAGGAACTGTACCAGAGAGGAGGCTGTGAAAAGCGTCGAGGACGGGCAAAACGGCAGCGTTTTGGCGGTGGAGTGGGATGAGGAGTTTCTGAGCGTCTGCGGGCTCTCTGGCTACAAGGACAATGTGTTGCATCCATGGGAGATAAATTTTACTGTTCTGCATGTGAGCTAGTTTTTTCATTTCCTTTTTTACTTTGTTCTTGATTCCAACATCTTCGCCTCATTGAAAATGAATGTTGTTGAGTTTTGTTTTTGGGGATTTGTTGGATAATCTTTTTCAATGATGTTGGTCTACTGTTTAATTTCCAGCTTCCTTAGCAGCTTCAATTTTGATCTAAGAATATGGCTACCGATCCGTAGTTGCTACTTTTGAAAAACAAACATTTAGGAAGAAGATGACAGAATAGATCTGATAGGAGGTTAATTATAGTAGATGTCGATAATTTATTGTTTTCTTCTGTTTGGATTCTTTTCACTGGTTTTCGCCAAAAGTTCAAGTCTTAGCTGTGTAACATGTGTCTCAATTGGTGACTGCGTAAAAGTTTATTGTTCTCTTTTTGGCTTTGTTACATGAAGTGGGCTTCTCACTTTTAGGGACATGTTTCTCTTGAGGCTTGAAGTTAGTTTTGTTCACTGTGATGCTGTAGCTCTACTAGCGGATGTTCTTCTTTTCAACTGATAGAGTAAAGGATGCCCTGCCGTGGCTGATTAGTGATTAGCCCTCCATCCATTTTACTTTTATGGGCCTTGTTGAAGAGTTATTGAAATTTGACATGGTTTTGTTTTGGTAAACAATAGCTTCTTTCATCTTTGTGCTGCTTATAAGGTTCCTGAATTTATCAGCCACTAGGGCTTGATTTGTAGTTAATTTTACGTTTCCTGAAAATAATCACTTTCTGCAATGTGGAAATTTGCTATTGATCTCATGGCTGCTCCATGGATAGTTGTGTGACTAAGATGGTAAATTGTCGAAGATATTTTAGATAATCATATCAAATTGTCTGCCGTTCCTTAATTGGACTCTAAATAACTTCTGTCAGCTAGAAGCCTTATATTCTGTTTTTCATGTTATTAGTTAGAAACCCGTCAATATGAAAGTTCAAGTGAGAAATATGATCTAACTGACTAATCACATGGCACAATGATGATCGTGGAGGTCAACATATTGTGTGATCTTTCAGATCCAGCTTAATTTAATGACTTTTGTCTCACAGTCTTTATTTAGCTCTGCTGATTGTAATAGATATCTGCTCTTTTTTTTCGTGTTTGATTCTTTATGGAATAATTACATCATCTGATTTTGTATCAGGGCCAGAATCAAGGTCTCAAGAACAAGATCTCTGTTGTTGGTACCTTAAACCTTGCTGAATATGCTTCCAAGAGTGGAGATCAAGTCACTGACGTTGAGATTCCACTGACAGTTGCTAATGCTGCAATCGAGCGCCGTCCGATGCTCTACGTAAGTAAAACTGGTTTCAACATGTTAATAATATGACCTTACATCATGTACCAATAGCTTATGTTTTGTATAAGAATGACCTTAAATCTGTTTGTTTTACAATTTGCTCCCTTTAGCATGCGAGATTTGCTAGCTAGAAACACAACTCTAGACATTATCTGTAATTTGATTGTTTTTTCTCTTAAAAAAACAAGAAATTATCAAATTACTGACGAAAAAGGCACTTATAATGGTCTTTATTTTATATTTCAGATAACCCTCAGCTTGCTTGAACTCATACCCGCAACACAAGACCCATCTGAATCCGTTCAAACCTCAATAGTGCCTCTCCAATCCCCACCGCCACCTGGAGAAACCTGTAATTCTCCCGAGAAGGATGAAGTCTCGGCCCTCAAGGCCAGCCTGCGAAAAGTCAAAATATTCACCGAGTACGTCTCTGCCAGAAGAGCCAAAAAGGCCTGTCTCGACGAGTACACCAGTGAAGAAAGGCGCTTGTCCAAAAGCGACGAGGGCGAATATTCTTACCCATTTGACTCGGACTCGCTCGACGAGTCAGAAGAAGGGGGAGGAGAATCTGACGTGGCAAAGGAGGTCTCGGCCGTCAGGAAGTCGTTCAGTTACGGGACTTTGGCTTTCGCGAACTATGCAGGCGTGTCGTATTATTCTAATGCCAGAGTTACTAATGAAGATGAGGATTGGGTTTATTACAGCAACAGGCGGAGATCAGATGTTGGGAGTTCTCGCGAAGAGGATCTTGTCCCGGTTGTTAACGAGCAGCCGCCACTTGTGCAGAGCTCGAGAAGGAGTTTGCTTCCTTGGAGAAAGAGGAAGCTGAGCTTTAGGTCGCCAAAGGCGAAAGGGGAGCCACTGCTGAAGAAGGCGTATGGGGAGGAAGGTGGGGACGATATTGACTTTGACCGGAGGCAGCTGAGCTCGGATGAGTCGGGCTCGTTTGGGGTAAGAGATCTTGTGTGCTTTTCATTTTTTATTGTTTTTTTTTTTCTATTTCCTTAATTGAAGGCATATAAATGGTAATGGTTTTGGAGATGAGAGTTTTGGAATCATGATTACAAATTCATTGGGAGTTGGATGACTACCATTTCTTGAAATTTTTAATCATTGATGTGCTTCAAGTTCATTTTTGAGTTGTTGTGATGAGTTTCAAATCGGTTTAGGTTGGAAGGGTTTTAAATGATTTCCCCAAATTCTACTTGAAATCCATCTTGAGTGTGAACCCCTTTGAATACTCAGCTGATCTGAAAAGTCCTTTTTCTTTTCTTTTTGGGTAGCCACTTATTGGTGATCCTGATAATTATTTTGAATCTTGTAATGTCATAATTATACATTAACTTGAGTTTTAATATTCACATAAAATAAATAGAGAGAGAGAGAGAGAGAGAGAGAAAGAGAACTAACTAAAATCACCATTCATTTCTGACAGTTGCAGAAAACAGACGAGGACCAAAGCACAAACTACCCATCAGCCTCCGAATTCGGGGATGACTGTTTTGCCGTCGGTGCCTGGGAGCAGAAGGAAATTATTAGCCGCGATGGGCTCATGAAGATCCAAACCGAGGTCTTTTTCGCCTCCATTGACCAAAGAAGCGAACGAGCTGCCGGGGAAAGTGCTTGCACTGCCCTCGTGGCCGTTATAGCCGACTGGCTTCAGAACAACCCGAACCTCATGCCTATAAAATCCCAATTCGACACCTTAATCCGAGACGGCTCCTTAGAGTGGAGAAACCTTTGCGAAAACGAGACCTACCGCGCCCGTTTTCCTGACGGGCATTTCGATCTCGAAACTGTCCTCCATGCCGAGAAAATTCGCGAACTTTGTGTTGTCCCGGAAAAATCATTCGTTGGCTTTTTCCACCCTGAGGGGATCGAGGAGGGCAGTTTCGACTTCTTGCATGGGGCAATGTCGTTTGACAACATTTGGGACGAGATAATGTCTTTGGAAGGCGCGGAGTGTGGCCCGGTTTTTATCGTGAGCTGGAACGATCACTTTTTCGTGCTCAAAATCGAGAGCGACGCTTGTTATATAATCGACACTTTAGGCGAGAGGCTGCACGAGGGCTGCTATCAGGCGTACATACTGAAATTCGATAAAGAGACGAGTATCCGCAGGCTGCCAGGTGGCGACCAGCCGTTGGAGGAGAAAAAGCCTGTTGTTCCAGATCTGAACGAGCCGGCTTCGGTCAAAGAGGAGCCCGAGCCATTGAAGGATGAAAACGAAGAGCTCGTTTGCGGAGGTAAAGAGTGTTGCAAGGAGTACATAAAGAGTTTCTTGGCAGCAATCCCGATTAGGGAGCTGCAGGCAGACATCAAGAAAGGGCTAAAAACGTCAACTCCGCTTTATCAGCGCCTGCAGATCGAGTTTCACTTCACTAGGTTGAGGGAAAGGGAATGCGTGTCCCCCGAGGTTGAGGAATTGACGAAAATGCCCCTGGCGGTTGATGTTGCTGCCATGGAAGCTGAAGTTTCCATCGAAGGGAGTGCTGTGCTGTGCTGCTAACTGGTTTTTT